GGCAAACCTAACAACTCGTCGCAGATAACGGAGTGGTCGGCGAAGTAATGCGAGTAACACTTGGATAGTATGACCACAAACGAGGCCAACCGTTGCGAGTACTGTCCACTCCAGGCATCCATGAGCCCAAACAACTCGCTTATGGCGTTCGTGTCCATCAAACCGACGCCTAAACGACACATAATCTCATCCTTTAATGCGATTAACGGTTCGTTTGGGACGCTATTGTGTTGGCATTCAAACAGCTTTTCAATGGCAGCCACTGATTGGCGACAATCCAGTGCTGTCTTTGTCTCGAAAACGCACTTCAATTCATCCAATCCTTGTTTGTCATAGTCTTTGAGCAATAGATGAAAGTTCTTCAGCACGTCATCGCTTCCGTCGATGTAATCAAACGCTTTCTCCAGACTTTTGTACACTTTATGATTGGCCTTAACGATGGATGTGTTGAAGTGATGCCTTTCCGTACAATAGATTAGTTTCGCGAATAATGTCCTTAACTTGAATTGATTGCGAAACACCTGTGATATGGACTGAACGCCGCAGTCATCGCACAGACAGATCAGCTCCAAGAGGTTCGCCATTTTCACAGCACTTCCCGACTTCGTGTCCAACAAATTGATCACAAAAATCATTTCAATGAATGCTCTGAAAGACAGGTAATTAATGAATTACTGAATGCGAAAATAGGTGTAAATGTGGGAAAAGTATTGAAACATAATGAGATAATAATCACAAGAAGTGGTGATTACTTTTCTTCCTCGATGTCAGTGATGGTGTACCGCAAGAGACAGGCGGTCGACAGCTTATAGAAGAAGTATTGTTCCGTTTTGTGATACTTGCGGTGAATGGTATGGAAAACGTTGGACACGCCGACCAGCGCCCGTTTGCGGACATCCAGCGATTGGTCACCAATTCTGGCGACAAAATGTCTCATAAGATTCCGGTCGACAATAGCCTCCAATCGGTGGCAGTGGTCGACGACGAGGGTCGACTCGCAGCGGATCAGTCGCTCCACGTCTCGCAGCCTTTTGCTGAGACTCGCGATCAGATCCGACACTATCTGCTCGTCGATCTGCGTCTTCAGCAACACTTCAACGGTTTGGAGGCAAACGATGCGTACGTCCGGCTCCGGGTCCGACATTAAGGCGAGGAATGAGCGCCAAATGGGTGCCACGGGTTCGGCGAACAACTCTTTGCACACATTAATCGTCGGCAAAGACTTCTTCAGCGAAAACAGTGACCGCATTATGAGTGCCATTCGGTAGCGTCGGGTGGCGTCCGCGTGCGTCAACTCCCGGCCCACAATCCACGGGTAGTCGCGGCACAGGTTGAGGAAGAACGAGGAGACGGCGCTCGGGTCGCGGAATATGAGTTCCTCTTCGGGAACGCCGTTCGGCAGGAAACACATTATCATTGACTTCATCGTGAAGTCCACGACCGGTTCATGTCGGCCACTGATCAGCAGTTTTGAGTACCGCTTGTATGCCATCGGTTTGTCCTATCATTTAAAGGGAAAGTTGTTTATTGTATTCAAAAGTATTCATTAATCGCAAGAATTGTGTATTTTTTGCTCAAAAACTTACTTTTCGTGCGAAAATCATTTCTTCGAGTATTGAATCCAATGAATAGAAATCATTCATTATTTGTGTTATTTATTTGATGCCAAAAAATGTTTGC